CATCATCATCATCATCATCATCATCATCATCATCATCATCATCATTATCATCATCATTATGATCACTGCCATCATCATTATGGCACTGCAGGGAAATAACGTTTCTGTAGGTGATTGAAGACATTATAACTTTTAGGTGACAAATGTTTATCCATATTGGATTTCATTGGAATACCCAGTCAAGTTGCCCGGGGTAATGTGCCGGTCACTTTGCGATTGTGGATCACTTTTCACCTCCCCCTTTGAGTGTCACCAGCCAGATCGCACGCGGCTTTCTTTTGTTTACTTTCCAAAACAGTTTACCAAAAATGTGTGAAACATAAATGCACAGCACTCTGTTCAAAGACGAGACCCTTATGATCACTTGTAACTTGCTATTGATCGACTGAGAACGATATTAGTTTCAATGTCAGACACTTGACTTTCATTTCTGTTTCTATATTTCCTCGGAAACGAACCGTGTTCACATGCCCCATGCCCGAAGGATCTAAGCATCACAGCGGACGAAAACTTCGTTTGTGCCCTGCATCATGTCAGAGCATCATTCGCAACTCTTGGACCTGTCAATTTACCCAAACGTGTCTTTCATCAGCGCGCATTCCATCACACATGTATAATAATACTTCCATGTTTCGTAGCCCGAGGTTCAACGTGATTAGCAAGGTTTTTGGAGCGTTTTGGAACCACAGCCACCAGGTTGATCCGTAGGGGTGGGGGGACTGGATTCCATCATCTATGTGGAGAGAATGGAATGCTTGGATATAACAGTCCACTCGATAACGACAATTCGAGGAAACTTGTTTTCAGTGTACGAGACACAGTGAAAACCTTACTACCTTACTACCCGTGCCAACCATTGCTAGAACTGCCATCCAACCCAGGGGATATATCGTTTTACTTTTGGGCTCCAAAAAATCGCACCTGAATACCGGTGAAATGTGCATCATCTATGGAACTCTGTGACATTTTACATCAACTGCGTTCACCACTACACTGCTCGGCTTAAGTCCCCGGGATTTTCGCTCGACACTGCCAGCCAATTCTTCTGCCTGCTCCAGGCACGTGATAAGTAAATTGATCGAGTAGACTATGACTGGATTGAGCGTTGTCACATGTATTATGCAACGCCTTGGTGTCGAATTCGCTGAGGTTATACGCCTCCGAAAGACTAAGTATGGTCGGGGGAGGGGGGGTTGTCTCAGTTTGCGGCTGATCAGCCCTTCCTTTGCACTTCGCGAAATGCTCCCAAGCTTCTCTGGTAGCCTCTGCTGAGAAAGCCCTATTCACTCATGTCTTCCTGTGGCGGAAATGGTTTCTCCCACCAAAGTGAGAGGAGGAAAAGCCAATATTCGGAGCTATAACCGGGGCGATGAATCACTAGCAGTTCACCAGGAAGGAAGTGGCTCGAAACCCTGATTCCAGACCAACCCAGAAGAGGCGTATGAACTACACTCACACGCTTTCCTGTTCGTGGTATTGGTCAACGGTTCATCTGAAAATAGAGTCGTGTATTGAGCACCTTGGATGTTTTACCCCGTCCAAAGGGCGTTTGATCCGATGAACTGGTCACCGGCCTCAATGGATTGTGGTTTTCACACACCACTCGACTACCTCGAGGGTCAGACCTTGGTTAACCGAAGGCTCCGGTTGTGGATACCTCAAAAAGATTGATCTGCCTTGATTGGGGCAACCTGGTATTCACCAATCCACATGCAAATCGTGAAACGATTTTCTTTCTATGAATATTATTGTTCCGCGATTTCTTTTGCACACAGTCTGGCGTCAGAAATATATGAAATGCAAATAAATACGCAAATAAACTACAAGTCGAATAAATCAATACATCACAATACCCTGAAATGAACAGAATTCTACCGGAACAGTGATTTCATTAAAAAAAGACTTTTTGCTCAAAGGCGAGGCACATAAGTTTTCATTATACCTGTTGTAATCTATTTTGAACAGAGGATTTCGGGATTTCGGGTTAGGAACGGGAATGCGGCAACCACAAACTTCCAAGTGGGGTAGGGGTGGATGGACACGAACGCCGGAATACTGGATACCAGGGTAGGCTTCCGTACTAGAAAGTGGAACAGATAGGAAACGTTGAGCTCTGGCATATGACAACCAGTGATATTATTCGTATGGAACCAATATTAGACGTAGGTCTATTAAGGATAGAAGAACCAGCATATTTAGCCTCGTGGTTAGATAGTTTAAAGGTACATTCCCACATTACAGACCGTCAATGAGCTCAACGTTCAAACACACCGTTTTATATGCAGCGTGGATGAGATCTAATGAAACAGAAATGTCAGCTCTGTACTTTCTGGGATAACGTAATAAAATGATGCGCATCAGATGTCACTACTGATGAGTAGTTGCCCTACGATCGGTAAATGGAAAGTGAAAATAATCACCTATTTCTGCCAGTCGATTCTGATGATCGACCATCACTGTTCTCTTTCTAACCACCAGCAAGTTCATTCCTGGAATAGGGATTAGTTTATGTTTCCATTCCCGGGCTACAGTTTCAACCGCGCTAAATGAGTGATGAGTTCTTCACAACAAAAAGAATATATATGTGGGCAAAATAGATATGGGCCATCAATTTCGCGTGTTCTCGTTCAGAGAACAATAAGCAAAATGAGCCATCGGGTTACATTGTAAAACCTACGGTGAAAGGCGGCATATTCGCGAACTCTAATCGTATGAATATAGTCGAATACGGGGAGACATGATCCTCGGATATCAAATACTACATCAACCTTACCACCAATGTAGTACTCTACTAACACTATCTAGAAATGGTCAACTCAGAGGATAACCGTTGAAAATTTTACTCCAATAGAGTCGGTTAGACTGCGGGCGTCACTCTTTCAGCCTCAGAGTTTGTAATACCTGGAACTCTCCTATTTCATCTCAAGTTTTTTGTGCTCCAACCATTATTGATTCCCTCAAGTCATGGCACGATGAAGCACTGAACTACACCTGACTTTTCAGCACTCGTGAGTGAATGTTATAATTTGCTATTCATTTGTAATATCAACGGAACCCAGTGTTTGTAAAGAGATCCTATGGTATTCGCCAAGTATCCGCTTTGCATTTCGTCCTTGATAACAATTTAAATTTGAATTTGAAATGTAAGATTTAGTGCTTGCAATTCAATAAAATGCAATAAATACGAGTGAGAAGTCCTCTAAACTCTAGTGTGTGTGTGTGTGTGTGTGTGTGTGTGTGCATTCCTGATCTAATCCAAAATCTGCAACTGAACATGAAATAGTTTGAAAAAGTGGTGTAGAACGAATGCGATGGGCAATATATTCAAAAGGGCTGTTACTTTTCGTCAAGATAATCATCATCATCTTCATCATCCACATCTTCATCATCATCATCATCATCATCATCATCATCATCATCATCATCATCATTATCATCATCATTATGATCACTGCCATCATCATTATGGCACTGCAGGGAAATAACGTTTCTGTAGGTGATTGAAGACATTATAACTTTTAGGTGACAAATGTTTATCCATATTGGATTTCATTGGAATACCCAGTCAAGTTGCCCGGGGTAATGTGCCGGTCACTTTGCGATTGTGGATCACTTTTCACCTCCCCCTTTGAGTGTCACCAGCCAGATCGCACGCGGCTTTCTTTTGTTTACTTTCCAAAACAGTTTACCAAAAATGTGTGAAACATAAATGCACAGCACTCTGTTCAAAGACGAGACCCTTATGATCACTTGTAACTTGCTATTGATCGACTGAGAACGATATTAGTTTCAATGTCAGACACTTGACTTTCATTTCTGTTTCTATATTTCCTCGGAAACGAACCGTGTTCACATGCCCCATGCCCGAAGGATCTAAGCATCACAGCGGACGAAAACTTCGTTTGTGCCCTGCATCATGTCAGAGCATCATTCGCA